TTGAATAGGAAGTCATATACTGGCAATCTAAGTGTGACCTTGAAATTGACTTTTGATCTACTTATAATCATGAACTGAACTCTGCTAATTTCTTTCTCTTTTAACTCCAAACCTGGCAGAGATAGGTCCATAGTTACTATTGAACTTGAATAGGAAGTCATATACTGGCAATTTACTGTGACCTTGAAAATGACCTTTCACCTACCTTACGATGAACTTAAATTTGATTGTACCATTTTTAGTTTCATATATTTTTTGCATATATTGAAAATTCTTGTTGATTGCATGTTTACATCTTGTCAAGCACAAGACTGGTGGCTGTGTCCCTTATTTTGTGTATGTGGGGGTCTATACAAATGCGCTTGCTCCAGCTGGTGGTACAATATTCGGAGGCGGTATTGCCTCTCTGATCCTCTAGTTGTTTTCATTTTTCGTATCATTTAACCTAAAAGTATGTTTTATTGTGTGCTATGTCTTGAATGCAGGTGTATCGCTTTTTACTTTATATATGTATTTATATTTGTTCCAGTTAAAGTCTATTTCAGTTAAAAGCCTTGTAGTTTTACAGCCCTTCCATTGTGTTTTGGAGGCCATTTTTTATTAAAATAACGTGCAAAATGAAATAAATGATCGCACTTTGCATGGATATAAACATAAATATGCAATGATGAACAATGGAGTGAAGCATTAAATTTTTTATTTGAATGTATGGCTCTCGCTATTCATATAACAAATTGACGACCATCTTGAATTTTGAAAAATTATCAATATCTCGTACATATCAACTGGCAACTAAAGTCAAGCTTATAAGCTTCTCTAAGTTTTGTAACCCAGATGAAATAATTTCTTTTGAAAAAGCTTGCAAGATATAACATAGCAAGCTTTGGCTATGGGGCTCGTCGGAGTGGCAAATGTACTCTCAGGAAATGGCACCGTCTGCCACCATCTGATTAATGTCAAATAAGCAGTTTCTAATAATTTAGGATCATGACTAACAAATTGTCATAATCAACATAAATAGAAAAGGCGGATATGTTTTTAATAAGGCTAAATTTGCAAAAAAACGAACTTATTTTGCAGCTTTTTTTACTTTCTGACGTATGTTTTGACGGCCATTTTGGTTTTTTGCTATATGTAACAGGCTTAAGTGCATTCACTAGTACTGTTGTGCTCTCCTGATAGGATACTCGTTCAAAAAAGCTGTCAATAAAGTTTGCCCGGCGACTTCTGTTCGTTTTTCTATTTTTCCTCATATATTGACGGCCATATTGAAAAATGCTCAAGGTCTCGGAAATAGCAACCAAGCTAATTTTGCTTTTCTCCACCTAAAGAATGCATTTCAGCAAAAAAGGTTTACAGGAAAAAACATTGCAGGGTTAGCGTTCTGGCTACTCGACTAACATGAAATCTATTAAGATAGCAAATTAGAAAAAAAAATTATGGGAAATGTGCAGAAATGCTATACCTAAAACAATTGTGAAAAAACAGACAATTCTACGTACAATGATCACTGATACGGATATATAAAACTATGTAAACATGTCATATTATTACACAGTTTCATTAAAAGCATATAGGTTACACAGGCTACATCTGCATATGGGTCCTTCCCAAAGCCTTAAAAGTGATTTAAACTCATTTGAATTGATGCTTTGCTTTAAGTCATTTGAGAGATCATTCCATATTTTTGGCCCAAGATATGACAAGGATTTTTTGCCGTATGTCGCTGTGTTAAATCTGGGTATATTTAGAGTCTTTTCTCCTCTAAGGTTGTAACTTGTTATTCTTTCCTGGAAAAGGCCGGAGATGTAGGAAGGTGCAAGTCCATGTATAGCTTTGTAAACCTCAAGTGCAAGTATACGTAGCCTGTTCAAGTGCAGAGTGCTGAGGCCTGACATATTTAAAAGCTCATCGTAACTGCTTGTGTGGTTGTCGTAGACAAATCTTAGACCCCTTTTCTGTATCTTTTCTAATTTTTTCATATTTCCCTCACCACAAAAGTGCCATACTAACGGACAATAAATAAAGTTTGATAATGTAAAGTGCCTGAAAATGGCAAGCCGACTTGGGACATCTAGATGAGCTGAAAGCCTTTTCAGAGTGTTTAATTGACATGCTGTTTTTGAACATAATTCTGAGATGTGTTTGTTGAAAGTCAGTCTTGAGTCAAAGTAAACCCCAAGGAGCTTGACCCAAGGTTCTGGTTTCACCAATTTTCCATTGAAGGAAAATTGCTCATCACTATGGTTGACTCCAATAAAAATAGCTTGAAATTTTTCAGGGTTCGTTTCCGTCTCGTTTGAGGAGAACCAGTTTATAGCATTTTGTGCATCGTATTCGAGCTCCCTTTTTAAGGTATCGAAGTCTGGGTGTGCAGCACTTAAGGTGTTATCATCTGCGTATAGTTGTAGAGGTTACAATTTTCAATAGAGTGAAAGATGTCATTTTTATATATATATATATATATTTTTTTTATTATTGATGATTTATTATCTGTTTTCAGTAGAAATGAAGGTGTGTTTCCTGGATTATCATCACACTGAGGACAGTTGAACTGAACTCAACCTTGCAGCCTCAGCACAGGTCAGTGCAACAACGATATTGCCATACTGTTGAGTGTCTTTAATCGTAGTGTGACCATCGCCACTGTATGTTGTAACTGAGAAATTATCATTTGTAAATGGGTCACTTAGATCCAGTTCAGTTTTATATATTTTCAAGTTGACAAGGATTAATGTGAACTGTTAGGAGTTTGGGGGGGGGGGGAAGAAATTTTTAATATAGACAAAATTCCATGTATACATTATGATGCCAGTACATTAATTGTCTGTTGTGACATTGAATTTGTCTGTATGTATTCTGATCACTATGTCTTTATTGTCGCTGTATGTGTTTGTTATAATATTATAATATAACCTGATCACTGTTATTTCTGTGTTGTAACTACTGTATATGTCTACATATATATATTTTTTTATTGATCATGCATTATCTGTTTTCAGTAGAAATGAAGGTGTATTTCCTGGATTATCATCACACTTAGGACAGCTAAATTGATCTCATACCCGCAGCCTCAGCACAGGTCAGTGCAGCCACAATATTGCCATACTGGTGATTGTCTTTAATCGCAGTGTGACCATCTCCACTATATGCTGTAACTGAGAAATTATCATTTATAAATGGGATCACTTAGATCCAAATCAGTTTTATTTTGTTTTCAAAGGTGACAAGGGTTAATGTGAAGATCGGAGTTGGGGGGAGGTTTCGCTAAGCAAAATTTTTGATATAGTCAAAATTCCATGTATACAATATGATGCCTGCCCAGATAGCAAGCATACGTTGGGCCAACGTTGGCCCAACGTTGCCTTGGTTGACCGTGCAACGTTGGCCCAACGTTGGGTTTCCATCTAAGTGCTCACTTTGGCCAACGGTTGGCTGAACGTCTTTTTAATGCCAACGCATTGCCAACGTATTCCCAACCAAACTGCGTTGGCCCTACATTGGGCCAACTAATAACCAACATTGGTTCAACAATTACCCAACCTGTAACCAACAGTGTATTGACGTTGGTTCTACTAATAACCAACGTCAGTCCAACGATTTCCCAACCAAACTGCGTTGGCCCTACATTGGGCCAACTAATAACCAACATTGGTCCAACAATTTCCCAACCTGTAACCAACAGTGCATTTACGTTGGTTCTACTAAAAACCAACATCAGTCCAACAATAACCCAACAAATAATACAAAAAGACAACAAAGAAAATTTTTATAAAATGTTATAATATTGTATTTAAACATTAATAAGTGTGTCTTATATCAATTGTTACATGATTCACATCAAGAAAAAATATCAACAGTCCTATGACTTTTCACTTATTCCTGGAGTCAAGGCATTTTTCTACTAGTAAAGTCTTTTTTTGCCTCATTTCAATTTTTTAAAATATTTTCATTAAATTGAATTTTAAACCAGAAACCCTTGTTAATGTCAGGTAAGATGCTTTTCATAAGTTACATGTCAAGTCTATAAAATCACAGTCTCTTCCTTCAGGCAAAATNTGTGCATTGTCTGTTGTGACATTGAATGTGTCTGTATGTATTCTAAACACTGTCTTTATTGTCAATGTATGTGTTTATTATAATATAATAATATATTTTGATCACTGTGTTATGTCTTTGTTGTAACTACTGTATGTGTCTACAAATAAATTTATTATTAATGATTTCTTATCTGTTTTCAGTAGAGATAATCGAAGGTCTGTTTTCTGAATTTTCATCACACTGAAGTCCTGAATTCATCTGTTCACCATCTACCTGTAGTTCTAACACCTAACAGGAAGCATCTGCAAAAAAGGTCAGTGCAACATCGATAATGTTTACACCGTGTTCAGACCAATAATCAGACCAGTAAAGTTTATATGTCTTATCTAACGTTAATCTTTTTCTTATCTTCTTTAATTATAGTGAAGTCACAAGTTAGGTATAAAATCGGGCTATGACCTGACAATAAATGAGTTTTGATTTTGGTAACTAAACTGTGGTGTTGCGTTACTCTTCTCTCCAGGCATAATCCAAGTCGGGAATCGCGTACCGTACCTAGAATCTTCCAGCGTAGGATTAGAGCCCCTAGCATCTAGATTATACCCGCAGTATATCTAAGAACCTAGTACAACTGGTGATTTTCTTCAATCCCATTGTGACCATCACCACTATATATTAACTGTAACTGAGAAATTAACATTTGTAAATGGGTCACTTAGATCCAAATCTGTTTTGGATATGTTCAAGGTGACAGGGGTTATGTGAACTGTTCGTAGTTGGGGGGCGAGGGTTCACTTGTCAAAGATCTTGATATTGACAAAATTTCATGTTTACAATCTGGTGCCTGTGCATTGTTTGTTGTAACATTAAATGTGTCTGTATGTATTCTGATCACTGTCTATGCGCATGTCTTAATTGTCGCTATATGTGTTTATTATAACATAATAATATAACCTGATCACTGTTATTTCTGTGTTATAACTACTGTACATGTCTACATATATATTTCTTATTGATGATTTATTATCTTTTTTCAGTAGAATTGAAGGTGTGTTTCCTAGATTGTCATCACACTAAGGACAGCTGAATTCATCTGCTCACCATCTACTTCTACATCCTTATAGCATCAGCAAAGGTCAGTGCAACAAGGATATTGCTACACTGGTAATTCCTTTCAATCCCATTGTGACCATCATCACTATATGTTGTAACTGAGAAATTATCATTTGTAAATGGGTCACTTAGATCCAAATTAGTTTTACATATGTTCACGGTGACAAGGGTTAATGTGAAGTGTTCGGAGTTGAGGGGGAGGGTTCGCTAAGGCCCCTATTTCACACAGACCACGAATCCCACGAATCACCATGAATTGAAAAAATTCAGGATTTATGAGGATTTGTGAGATTTAAAAAATTTTCTGGCCTAATTCGACATGCTCTACGATTCAGTTACGATACAGGTGCGATATAGTGTTATGAATAACCTGATCACTGTTATTTCTGTGTTGTAACTACTGCCGGGATCTCCTGAGGCTGCGTTTTTGCACCATTGGCGCGTACAGATTTGTAATGACGCACTTTTTCAATAGCAGTGCGTCTCAAGGGCGCATAAAAAATAAATAACTTTAAATACAGAAAAAAAAAAACGGAGTTTGTTTGTTCAACATATTTTAAACTGTTAAAATTGTGTATTTTTAAACCCACCAAAATTTTACTAAACTTGGAATGAGTGTCAGTCGGGAAAACCGAACTTCAAAGTTCTAGTCTTACGTCTACTGCGTGCGTTCTCTGTGTGGAGAGTACCTTCTCTGCATAGAGAATACACCGGAAGTGCAGAGATGGCCGCACCAAAAGTAAAGCAGCCGAAGCTTTCGTTTTTTTGGCATACGAGTAATGTACTAGATAGCGGACATACTAGTGGTAATGTACCAGGTAGAGAGCCTCCACTAACTTCCATTAGGAAGTTTCAGCAAAGTTGGCTGCAGATATTCCCGTGGCTGCGCTTCGACAAGGAAAAGTCGACCATGTGGTGTGCACCATGCAAAAAGGCGGGCAAACGTAATACCCTGGGGGTATCGCGAAACTTTCACACCAGTACGCTCACCCGCCACGTTGGAATGGCCGACCATGTGTGTGCTATCCAGGTAACTTAAATTAATTTATTCTGATTCAAAGTCAATTAAAAAACGAATAGTTTGAACTTAAAAGTGTTTCCACGTGTGCAGCTACTTAGAGATGTACGCACGCGTACAGGGAGTTGAGATTATTTTGAGTTTCTTGTGCATTTGGCCTTAAGCAAGGTACTACGTTTTTGGTGGGATAAGCAGTCAATAAACACTATAATTACGTTTTCCATTTCTATTTGTGTTGTTTTGAATACAATTTGGTAGTTTATTGCCAAGTTAATGTATCGTATGATGTAGAAATCATTATGCAAAGTAATGGGATTGCATTTTAGTCATTTTAGTTTGAGTATCACTGATTGTTATTATGGACAAAATGATTTGTGAATTTTTCAGTTTCTAAATATATATATTATGTAATTAATAAAGTAATAGGCAGCATTACTGAATTGCAATGCTTATTTTAACAGGTACCAAAGGAACGGGTGTACATGAACACAGCAACTACCTTAACCCTGAATGCGCAAGAGAAGGCCATCATGACAGCGATGAAAGCAGTGGTTTGGATGGCCAAGGAGTGTATTCCACTTTCTAAGTACAGTTCTTCAATGAACTTTCTCCAAGCTGAAGTGCAGCAGTGCAGTCTCATACTGCAGTTATAATACTGCAACTGACATACTTGATGTTTAATTGATGAGAACATTACACAACAGATTCACCAGTCATTGCTGTCTTATGTGATGAAAGTGTAGATATTTTAGTTCACCATAAATTGGTAATCCACTAACTTTAGCCCCAAAAACCTTTTTTTTTTTTTTTTTGAAGACTTGTATATTTCTGATGGAACTGGAAAGTTGATATTTACAGATATAAAGATACACTTGGCATCCAGAGGAGTAAATCAGAATATAATTTTCTATTAAAAGTTATTTTATGAACACTGTTACAGACATGCATAAGTGGATGTTGCCAAAATGTTGCCATGGGCTTTGTTATATTACACTAAAAAAGAATGAAAAAAATAAAAACTTGTTTATTTTTATTTAGATGTTTTATTCTGATTATTTATATGCTTAGAATACTTCTCAGATTTTATCTAAAAAAATGAATTATCTTTAATAGTAATTATAATATAAATTATAAATGCAATAAATAATGGTTACAATTAAATTATACTGACTATTTGTGACATTATAAATGAACTTGTGGCCCAAGCATGCATTGAATGACTGGGCACAATGTTTCGCAAAATGGCACACTTTTCAATCTTGAGTGTGCCCAAATGGCACACTTGACCTTCAACCTAGGGAGATCCCTGCTACTGTATATGTCTACATATATTTTTTTATTGATTATGTATTATCTGTTTTCAGTAGAAATGAAGGTGTATTTCCTGGATTATCATCACACTTAGGACAGCTAAATTGATCTCAACCCCGCAGCCTCAGCACAGGTCAGTGCAACCACAATATTGCCATACTGCATGGTGATTGTCTTTAATCGCAGTGTGACCATCGCCACTATATGTTGTAACTGAAAAATTATCATTTGTAAATGGGTCACTTAGATCTAAATCAGTTTTAAATATTTTCAAGGTGATTAGGGTTACTATGAACTATTCGGAGTTGGGGGGGGGGGGGGGATTCGCTGAGGAAAATTTTTGATATAGACAAAATTCCATGTATACAATATGATGCCTGTGCATTGTCTGTTGTGACATTGAATGTGTCTGTATGTATTCTGATCACTGTCTATGTCTTTATTGTCACTGTATATGTTAATTATAATACAATAATATATTTTGATCACTGTGTTATTTCTGTGTTGTCACTTCTGTATGTGTCTACAGACAGCATTGGTCAAAAATGTTGTCCCACCCCTATTTCCATGTAATTTTATTTACAAATGATCACCTCACAGCTGTAAATTGTTAGAAATAGTGATTTTTATTACAGATACTGTGTCTAACATGATTAATAGTTTAAAAAATACAAAATAGTGGTGAAAATATACACATTTTATACCATTTAGTAAAATTTAAGAGAGGTACCCCCTCAAATCCACTGTTTCACTGTGACTTCTACAGATGTAAAGAAATGTCTATAAAATTGAAAAGACGCCATCAAATGTCACCAAATTCACACACAATTAGCATTAGGGTGTGCTCGTTAAAGATCACGTGCCTAACAGCGTGTGCATGTACCGCGTACTGCAATTATCTCCGGTAGATGGCGCGACAAGCCTTCAACACGGGTAACAATTCTGTTATGTGGGATATTGTCCCATTCATCCTAAAGAACCTGGCGGAATTGGTCAAGATTATTTGGGAATTGGTTCTCCTCTGCAATACACATTACAAATAATGCCACTGGTGCTCAGTAGGATTAATATCAGGGCTCAAAGACGGTTGTCCCATCCTCAGAGCCCTGTGTTTCTGCAACAAATCGCTTGCCAGACGAGAGCTGTGAGGAAGTGCGTTGTCACAATGAAGCCAGTAGCATCCCTGAAGTCACCTCTTGCAAATGGAGTGAGATTTCTGTTGAGAATGTTACATTAAAATGCCCCTGTTATGTTTTATTCCGAAAGGAACAATGTACTAATACCATGGGCTTGGAATGTTCTCCAAATGCGGACTGATCTAACACCTCAGGAGATATTATCCTACACACACCCTTTCAAGAAGCATTTTTTAACATGTTTATGGACCCTCATTTGACCATCAATGGGATACAAGTAATAATTTGATTCTGCATCAAAACCAACTTCCTTCCAGTGATGGATGGCCAGGTTCAGAAGCCTGTGGAATCACTGAACGTAGCATAATTCTCAGCTGATATCTCATTCCATCTTCAAGAACTGTCTTTGGGGTTAACTCCAGGTTTCATCATGGCGTCACACTTGCTCACACCTTTCGCCTGGCAAGTTTTTTTTTAAGAAACACAATGCTCTTAGGATGGAACCACCATCATTGAGCCCTGATATTAAACTTACTAATCAACTGTGACATGAATTGGAGTGTGCAATGCAAAGGAGAACCAACCCCATAAAAACGTGGATCAACTCCCCCAACTTGTTTAAGAAGAATGGGACAATATCCCACATAACAGAATTGTTACCCGTGTTGAAGGCTCGTCGCGCGGTCTACAGGAGATAATTGCAGTACGCGGTAGATGCACACTCTGTTAGGCACATGACCTTTAACGAAATTTGGTGACATTTGATGGCGTCTTTTCAATTAAATAGACATTTCTTTACATCTGTAGAAGTCACAGTGAAACAGTGGATTTGAGGGGGTACCTCTTATAAATTTTACTAAATGGTATAAAATATGTATATTTTCACCACTATTTTGTATTTTTTTAACCATTAATCATGTTAGACACGGTATCTGTAATAAAACGCACTATTTCTAACAATTTACAGCTGTGAGGTGATCATTTGTAAATAAAAGTACATGGAAATGGGGGTGGGACAACCTTTACCAATATTGTATATATTTTTTATTGATGATTTCATGTTTTCAGTAGTGATGATCGAAGGCGTGTTTTTTGCATTATCATCACACTAAAGACAGCTGAATTCATCTGTTCACCAACTAGTTCTACAACATTACAGCATCAGCAAAAAAAGGTCAGTGCAACAACTTAGACTCCGTTCACATGAAAAATCTATTTTCTAAAAATCTATTTTCTATTCGCGGTATCTTGTGATCACTCAGAGTGCAACCGAGAATTAATTACAGCTTTGGAAGTAACTGGCTCGCGCTGCCAGTAATTACACCGCGGGGTATTCAGGGCACAGACAGTGATCACAAGATAAGGCGAATAGAAAATAGATTTTTAGAAAATAGATTTTTCATGTGAACGAGGCCTTAATTGCTACATTGGTGATTCTTGGTCATCCCATTGTAACCACCATTATATGTTGTAACTGAGAAATTAATATTTGTAAATGGGTTACTTAGATCTAAATCAGTTTTAGATATGTTCAAGGTGACACAAAGGTTAATGAGAACTGTTCAGAGTTGGGGGAGAGTGTTCGCTTAGCAAAAATTTTGATATATATATATAACAAGCGTGAATGTGGAACAGAGTGCTCAACAGTACGGAGCATTTGTACACAATTAAAATAAATAAATAAATAAATAAACAAAAGACATGCAAAAACCCCGACTCCGAGTTTCACGGGCATACCCAGAAGGTATGCCCGATCGTCAGGAGGTTTATTTGAAAATGGTTTTTGCATGTCTTTTGTTTATTTATTTATTAATTAATTTTAATTGTGTGTATATATATATATATGATGATATGTGACGATAATCCAGGAAATACACCTTCACCTCTACTGAAAATATAATACATCATCAATAAAAAATATATGTAGACATATACAGTAGTTACAACATAGAAATAACAGTGATCAGGTTATATTATTATATTATAATAAACACATACAGGGACAGACAGTGATCAGAATACATACAGTCACATTCAATGTCACAACAGACAATGCACAGGCACCAGAATGTATACTTGGAATTTCGTGTGTGTGTGTGTATATATATATATATATATATATATATATACACACACACACACGAAATTCCAAGTATACATTCTGGTGCCTGTGCATTGTCTGTTGTGACATTGAATGTGACTGTATGTATTCTGATCACTGTCTGTCCCTGTATGTGTTTATTATAATATAATAATATAACCTGATCACTGTTATTTCTATGTTGTAACTACTGTATATGTCTACATATATTTTNACACACACACACACGAAATTCCATAATATAATATAATAATATAATAATGCCTGATGCCTGTGCATTGTCTGTTGTGACATTGAATGTGTCTGTACGTATTCTGATCACTGTCTATGTCTTAATTGTTGCTGTATGTGTTTATTATAATATAACAATATTACTTGATCACTGTTATTTCTGTGTTGTAATTACTGTATCATGTCTATAAATATTTTTATTGGTGATGTATTATCCGTTTTCAGTATAGATGAAGGTATATTTCCTGACTGAGGACAGCTGAAATGATCTCAACCTCGCAGCCTCAGCACAGGTCAGTGCATCAACGATATTGCCTTACTGGTGATTGTCTTTAATCGCAGTGTGACCATCGCCACTATATGCTGTAACTAAGAAATTATTATTTGTAAATGGGTCACTTAGATCCAAATCAGTTTTACATATATTTTCAAGGTGACAAGGGTTTTAACATTAAAATGTGAACTGTTGGTTGTTGGGGAGGATGAGGGTTTGCATAGCACATTTTTTGATATAGACCAAATTTCATGTATTCATTCTGATGCCTGTGCATTGTCTGTTGTGACATTGGAATGTGTCTGTATGTATTCTGATCACTTTGTATGAGCTCTCTCACAAACTTTTGGATCGATCTATCTTCCTGGAGAGTCTCACTAAATTGCGATCAACTTAACCGTCTCAAATGTCTGTCACGCCTAGTAAAGCTGTTAAGGGATAATTATCTTTACCCTAGCTGATTCGGTAGGCGTGACAGACATTTAAGCCTTTTTATAATATAATAATGTATTTTGATCATTGTGTTATGTCTGTGTTGTAACTACTGTATATGTCTACATATATATTTCTTATTGATGATTTATTATGTGTTTTCAGTAGACCTTTTTCATCTTTTGCAGAAATTAGAAGTGCATGTGACAGGACCCGCGTGCCAGAGGGGTCATTGTAGTCCTTTGCTGTTTCCAGCATGGCACCGCTAGGTGTAGATGATGTACAGGATGCGTGCTCTGCTTTGTGTCATTTCCATAAAAATGGCCCAATCATGCTTATTTAGAACTTGACCTGCATATTATGAATATTCATCACTTCTGTAAGTTTCAAGCCAAAAAGTAAAATGGTTTTCCACTTATCATGTTATTGGTGTTGCATATATGCTGAAAAAGGTGAAAAAACAGTATAACTTCCATAAAAATGGCCTAATCATGCTGTTTTTTTAATTTGACTTGTGTATTATGAATATTCATCAGTTCTGTAAGTTTTAAGCCAAAAGGTAAAATGGTTTTTCGACGAAGATGACGGTGGCACCGACGACAGACGCTGGTGACAGCTATATGTACAGAAACATCTGTCTGCACATAGAAAGGAAAAGCGAAAAAATGTTTCTTAACTAGGGGATCTCAACTTAGAACTTTCATTATTTTAAATAAATGCCATACTGTCAAAGTGCTAAATATGCCAGTTGTGTGCAATAAAAACAAGAATGAACAACACAAATGTATAAAAAAAGCTACACTAATAAGAACACCAATAAGCAAAATTGAAATTGTTTTCTTTATCCAAGTACCATCAAACTCTTTTCTTGGGCAATGGTGTGTTGTCCAAGATAAGAAGGTGGTTAGATCTCCTGCCATGACAATTGCCACACTTAGACTGGGAGCCAACACCCTTTGTTACCTGAAAGCACAACTCTTTATTGAAGAACTGCTGCACAGTGGGTGCACTGTTGGCTCTACATGCCCTTTCATGTCTTGAAAAATGCTGCTTAAATCGGTCCTGACAGCACACTTTTCACTGGCTCCTAAAGCAAATCTTTACATAGCTCTAGGAAGGAATTGGCAGTAAAACAGTAAATAACAACTAGAGGATCAGAGAGGCCATACTACCTCCGGGTACAGTACCAGCAGCTGGAATAACACATTTGTATGGAAATCACAACAAAGGCAGCAAAGCTGTCAAATGTACAGACAAGCAGAAAATAAAGATGCTGAAAATAGGTGATTTTTTAAAATATTGATGCAATAATAAATAATGCTTATAACAGCACACTCAATCAACACTAAAATTTAATTATGAACTGGTAACATGGTCAATAAGATTACAGTTTCAGGACTGTGAGAGTTCAAATTCACATAATGAAAATCCCTATATGTGAAAAATGATGACACTGCATAAAATAATACTACACAATGTTTAAAGACATTTACAAACTGTATCTGGCAGAGAACTTCACCAATGGGAGCTTACAGGGAAATCTCAACACATGTGTTGTATGCAATCTCATTTAATTTAAATAATATTCATAAGTAACACAGAAAGTTATATTTTTGCAGGTAAAATAATGAATTTGGAAAAAATGTATTGTATTTGTATATATTGTATACATATGGATTTATTATTACCATTATTTAAATGTTATTATTTGCTGAAGGGCACAAAAACATGTTTTTTAATGGAAGAGGGGGTGTTTGACACAGTAACTTATTGTGAGGTAGTAACCTAGCAAGTTTTAGGTCTTAATGTTAAAAAAAATAATAATAAAGGCCTTGCTGAGTGTGGGCTGAAATTTCTTTAAATGTGCTGGTGTTACTGTACAATGGTGCGATTAATTACAATAAACAGACTTCTTTTAAATTAAACCTCAGCAATTAAAGATATACTTGAATATAAAAACCTTTATAATTCTACAATGTTGTGCAAGAACTTACATATTTTTCAAATAATTTCTTGAGCACCGTGCAGCTACATAAGCAGCTAATAAGTCTTTAAGATATATAGTTTGTAAAACTCTACACATGGATTTGTGTTATATATTTACCAATATGAAATATGAAGTCAACTAATATTTTTGAGTTACTAAACGCACTTTAACACACCTGAGAATTTAACTGCATCCAGTCTAACAATACAGAGCACAAGTAACTGCACGATCATTACATACACTAGTGGGCTAGATTTGGTCTTAAAGTGCAATTTAAGTTCACAAGTGATCTTACACAATCTTAATCATTACAGCAGTAGTCTTAAAATGGACTGAATCTGCTTTTAAGGTCAAAAATGATCTAACATTGACTTAAGTGGCCAAGCAGTTTCCTCCCCTCACAATAGAGGACACCTCTGCTCACAATAGGAGAATGTGTAAGGGGAGACGACTTAATTGGCTGTCAGACTAGAAATGGTCTTACTCATGTTTTAAGATCACGTAAGACTATATATAAATACACGCATTTATCCAACTTCTCTAACCCTTCTATCAATATTAACATCGATTTAAAAAACCTACGACATATTTTTTTACTGAAACAATGCATGGGAATCCTCTATAAAATCTGCAAGCTTCGCATGGAAATCCATTGTTTATATCTACAGGTAGCAGTGCACAAGATCAATTCTGATGGAATATTACATAATGATTAACAGTATAATTACCACCAATTTTTAATAATCTACTATAAATAACATGGACACTTAAAAAATTTGATTACCATTGGGCTTTATGCCCATGGGATTTTGAAGTCCTATATTGAAAATGTCAATATGTGAAAAAATGAAAATTTCACAAAAATGCACAACTTCCAGAAAAGAAGCCAATTAGACTGCTTTACCAGCTCAGACTGTATTTTAGTCCTATGTTACTTTCTGTAAGTTTGAGAATCATAAGCAATGAATCTTCATTGTCATCATGACAAGTGTCCAAAATAACCCATTTCTTCAATTTTGATGCAACATTACATGTACATAATGCTTACATGTAACAGCATAACTACCATCAATCTTCAATAATAAAATATCAGTATCATGGATATTTAGAAAATGTGTTTAGCAAGGCTTCAAGCCCATGGAGGTTCAAAGTCACAAATGAAAATGCTAATAATGTCTAAGATAGAGTTTTCTTTAATTTTGATGCAATATCGCATAATATTTAACAGCATAATCATCCCAGAACTTTAATCATGCACTGCAGGTAACATGGATATTTAGAAAATGTGATTAGTAAAGGTCTTCTGGCCCATGGATCTTCAAGTCACACTTTGAAAATACCAAAATGTAAACAAGAGATAACTGTACTGAAATACAGTTTCTTTCCACTTTCAACACTTTTTACATAAAATAATCATTTTACTGTCATTTTTATATGATCAACAAGGAAAACTGTTGAGATAGGATAAATATCAACAGAACAATTTCAAAAGTCCAACTTTCAGCCCAACTTCCAGTTGGACTTTGTCCATGCATATCCTGCAGATCATAGGCCCTTCAATGCCCAGAATTTGAACTTCCTTGCTCTAATGGTCTGAAAGGTGTAAGGAGAAATTAATATGTGAAAAGAATTAAAGGGATAATAACTGCTCGTTTTGGCCAAAAAATGAATTTTCCTGGAGTAAACAACAATTTTCCCATACTTACCAGTGGTTAATGAATTCATTTCAACATTCAAAGTTAGTTGCTGTTTTTTTTTTTCTAAAAAGTTTGTTATAATTTCTTAAGAGATTATTACAGAGTATAGCCATCTATGGAGGTCACGTGGTGCGATGACAAGCTCAGATATCAGAATAATAGCTATAACTGTTGTTTTTGTGGTAAAACAGAATATAAATAATTATATTTCTATGAGTTGTTTACAATGTTTTTATTGTGAAATATATAGATCTCATATGAAGAGTTATTATCCATTTAAGTATTGACCATACCCCATGAACAACCCAGCCCCCAGGCACACTGAAATTCTGAAGTGCCCATGATGATAGGTCCATAAATCTCAATAGTTTCAACTTCCAATTTCAAATGGTTTGGGGGGGGGGGGGTATTTTAGTTTTTACAATGTCAGAAGAATGAAGAATCAACCACCCCCAGTAAAGACCAACCTCCTGTTGCACTACAATTAACGCTGAAGTCCCCACACACATCCCTGATGATAGGTCTATCATTCTCCAAAGTTTCAACTTTCTAACTCTAATGGTATTGGAGAAGATAGCAGAAATTATTAATGCACTGAGACACGGACGCATGGACAAGCAGGATAACACAATTATAATGAACTTTCATATGGCAACCCATAGATCAAGAATATGATGTGTAGTAGATCTAAGTCTGCTGTTAAGTTAACAAACTCCAGTGTGTTCCATACATGTTGCAAACTGGCATCTAAACATCTAAGTCCACAGAATTTTGAGTAACCTTTGCACCTTCCTTCATTGTACTTCAAAAAGGTATGTAGGGTCCAAGCTCAGTTAGTCAATATTTTTGGTATTTAAAATAGGAATTTTCTCTAAAAAGTAAGAAAAAATTAGGAACTTGATGCTCTGCACAATACAAAATTACCAATTATCATTTTTATATCATCAACTAACAAAATTGCCAAGTTGATTTTGCTGATGGCAAAGTCTGTGGGCCAGTACAAGTAGGAAGTGCCACATTTCTGTGTATGTATTTTTGTGAATTTTAACATTTTAAGAACATATTTTCATTATATTTAGTCAAATCTAGCAGTACATGCAGCACAACACTTTCCCATTTATATAATTAATTTATTATTCTTGTCATATTTGTTCTGTTTTACTTTGTAAGAGACTGTATTTCTTTATATTTCTTTTTATTTCAGTTTTTACCATACTTTGTTCATACTTAGTGTTCTGTTTACACTGTGAACTCCAAAATGTAAACAAATGTGACAAACTTCCCAGCATTACTTGCTACTTATGATATTATATGCTGAAACACATAAACACATGGAAGGCAGGTGTTTTTAACTACCTGTTTCCCAAACAATATTTATTTTCATCATATGTCAGAGGGGGGGGGGATGAAAAATTATTATCCAAAAAAATTACTTTTTGCCACTATTAAAAAAACATTTAAGACAATGTTAAAACACCCCCACATTTGTTATTGCCTCCTAAAACCAAGGTGGAAGAGAAAAAGACCAACAACAGTTATCACGATCACCAAAAGTCCACCAGTGTCTAGGAACTGATAAATACAATCTTACATACTGTTACAGTCTTCAGGCTTATGATTTTGTCCAAAGTTTTAGCTTGAAAAATCATAGATGCTTCATATTCTTTTATCCCTTACAATGTTGTACAATTTTGCTGCTTCTACCTGGTACCATTACCATTTTTAGCAACCATTAAAATAAAAATTATCCCATCAGCTCTTTTTCTCTTCTATGCTGTCTGATTTTTCTTCTTTGTGTACTTTGGCATCTGTTTCTTTCTTTTTCCTCTTGAGCTTGTCCTTAATATTTGACAGAAACCCCTTGTTCTTGGTTGGATCCACCTCTATAAACTGACGCGTAGTTAAATTATGCACTGAACCAAAACCTATGGCCACAACAGTACATGCCAAGCAGATCACATTGTATGGCATGCTGAAGTCGGGTGTTGGCAGGGAAACTAATAAAGTCTCTGTGTGAATCCGTAATAAAAACTCTGATGAAATGTCATCATTCAAGCTGAAAAAGTATAAATCATAATCAATTAAATATGTATTATATTACAATCCAACCTTCTCAGAGTAAATTTAATGGGATTTGGTACATTATGAATTTTACCTTACTATCTGCTGTAGCTGTAATAAATTAAAATTATCATTATAAGAGAGAAAAAAAATTAAAAAAAAACAAAAACATATCAGCAAACTTGCCAATTTGAGCAGATGGCATGACAGCATCATTTTGGGGGTTAAAACTGTACTATCACTTAAAAAGATGTCTTTCACCTGAACAATCATCTGCACTGCTTTGATGCCAATTTAATCACAAGAATTCCAATCCAGTGCCAGGGTAAGTTCTTGAAAGGCTTCTGATTTGATCAGAAAAGATGTAAAAACTAGGGGATCAGAGAGGCAATACTGACTTCGGGTTTGTACCACCAGCTGAAGTCAGCATACTTCTAAGGACAACAAAACAAGGCAGCAAAGCTGTCAAATGTACAGACCAAAGGCAGAAAATAAAGATGCAGAAAACCGGTAATTTTGTCAATTTTGATAATATATAATAAATAATGCTTATAACAGCACAGTCAATCAACACTAAATTTAGTCATGTACAACAGGTAACATGGTCAATAAGATTACGGTTTCAGGACCATGAGAGTTCAAATTCACATAATGAAAATCCCAATACGTGGAAAATGATGACATTGCATAAAATAATATTACATGATGTTTTAAGACAGAAACACCAATACTATTGCTTATGTGGAAATACAGAAAATGTAGAGCTTCAGATGGATGGGAGTTAAAAGTCGCATCTTGATAATGTTTGAAAAATCAAAAAAAAAAAAAAAAAAAAAAATAGAAAACATAACAAAAAATATTCCAATTAAGCTGCTATTCAAACTTCTAACCTAGCTGTATTAACATGATATGGATAACCCCATTGAGTTCGAGGATAAGGCACCATTCAAAGCTGACATTAAATTGCAAAAGGGGCTAACTCTATATTTTGTAAAGCAAGGCCAGTACCAGGGGCAGATCCAGAGATATTTTCTGACAGTCTTCCAAATTATCTTTGTTAATTCGTCCTCAATATTTGACCGTCTTCCGACAGAAAATATTAGATACTCGTCAATGTAAACTAAAAAATCTGACTGTCTTCCGGAAGACCCAGAAGATGGCCTAAATCCGCCCCTGAGTACACTATGCACTCAGACAAGTGGAAGAAGAGATAGATAGATTGGAAGCCCAGGGAGTGATACGAAAAGTAGAGCAGAGTGAGTGGGCCTCACCCATTGTTTGGGTACCCAATAAAAATGGAGCAATTAGAATATGTGGGGATTTCAAAGTGTCTGTAAATCAAGTATTGATAGAGAAAACATACCCATTACCAGAAATTGAAGACACGTTTGCCAACATGGGAACAGGGACAGTATTTTCAAAGACAGACTTATCTATTGCATACCAGCAAATGGAGCTAACAGCGATGGCTGCTTAAGGAAGACTAAAAGTTACTCCAGACCAACCTTACATTTTAAGGACTCCTCAGCTGAAAATAAAAGAAATTTTTAAGCAAAGGCAGATTCTAGAAATGACCGATTCCTTTGCTAAGAATGATTGTTAAGTGATTCCTTTCAAGTGAGATAAAGAAAGGTCTTGGAATACAAATTTCGTATAAGGTCAACTTTAAGTCTCCCTTAAAGCTAAAGGGAGATTCTGGAATACGGGCCAAAGAATCATAAGCAACATGGTTTACCCTTAATGGTCATCCTGGCAGCAGTGTCCAAATGGGGTTTTCTTCCACTTTTATGCAATATTACATAATGCTTAACAGCATAATGACCATCGATTTTTAATAATAAAATAAAAGTATCATGGATATTCAGAAAATGTGACTAGCAAAGGTCTTCAAGCCCATGGAGGGTCAAAGTCACACCTTGAAAATGCCAATTTGTGAAAAATCAAATTTTCACAAAAATGTGCAACTTCCTGAAAAATCAACCAATCAGACTTGTTTACCACCTTAAGCTGCACTTAAGTCCTATGTTTCTTTCCTGTAAGTTTGAGAAGAGTTACTGACATGGTTTTCCTTTAATGGTCACTTTGGTGGCAGTGTCCAAAATAGGGTTTTCTTCAATTTTGATGCATTATTACATAATGCTGAATAGCATAGTCACACAATCATTATTAATGCACTGCAGGTAACATGGATATTTAGAAAATGTGACTAGCAAAGGTCTCTAAGTCAATGAAATTTCTAAGTCACACCTTGAAAATGCCAATATGTACACCAGAGATAACTGTGCTAAAATGAAATTCTTTCCATTTTCAACACTTGTTTACATAAAACAAAATAATCAATTTACTGTCATTTTTATATGCTCAACTAAGAAAATTGCTGAGATGGGAAAAATATCAATAGAACAATTTTAAATGTCCAATTTAATCCATTCTGAGATTCTAAACATACTGAAAGCTTGATTCTGAAGAACTGCAATGATATGAGTTTATTTCCATTTTTGACACTTGATTACACAATATAAGATTACAGGTTTACCATCAATTTTACATAATCACCTAACAATATTGCTTAGAAGCAGAAAATATCAAAATAACACTTCTACATATCAAAACTAGAGGATCAGAGAGGCGATACCGCCTCCGAATATTGTACTACGAGCTGGAGTAAACGCAATCGTATAGACCCCCACACACACAAAAAAGGGACACCAAAACCAGTCTTGTGCTTGACAAGCTGTAAAAAATGCAATCAACAAGAATTCTCAAAATATGCAAAAAATATATATAACTAAAAATGGTACAATCAAAGTTCAGTTCATAGTAAGGTAGGTCAAAGATCAATTTCAAGGTCACAGTAAATTTCCAGTATATGACTTCCTATTCAAGTTCAATAGCAACTATGGACCTATCTCTGCCAGTTTTGGAGATAAAAGGGCACCAAAATTTGCAAAGTTCAATTCATGATGAAAAGTAGGTCAAAGGTCAATTTCAAGGTCACATTTAGATTGCCAGTATATGACTTCCTATTCAAGTTCAATAGTAACTATGGACCTATCTCTGCTAGTATTGGAGATAAAAGGGAACAAAATTTGCCAAGTTGAGTTCATGGTTAAAAGTAGGTCAAAGGTCAATTTTAAGGTCACATTTAGATTGCCAGTATATGACTTCCTATTCAAGTTCAATAGTAACTATGGACCTATCTCTGCCAGTTTTGGAGATAAAAGGGAAGCAAAATTTGCAAAGTTCAGTTCATGGTGAAAAGTAGGTCAAAGGTCAATTTTAAGGTCACATTTAGATTGCCAGTATATGACTTCCTATTCAACTTCAATAGTAACTATGGACCTATCTCTGCCAGTTTTGGAGATAAAAGGGAAGCAAAATTTGCAAAGTTCAGTTCATGGTGAAAAGTAGGTCAAAGGTCAATTTCAAGGTCACATTTAGATTGCCAGTATATGACTTCCTATTCAACTTTAATAGTAACTATGGACCTATCTCTGCCAGTTTCGGAGATATAAGGGACTAAATGTTATAATTTTGGAGTTACATTAATGTGCCATAAATTTTGTACAGAAAAAATTAATTAAAATAAAGAAAAGGTCATTTTGGTCAAAATTCTTGAAATGGGAGGTGCTCTGAAGTTCCAGATGTTTAAATTTGATGAAATAATGTCATTTTTGACCACAAGTTGTCTGCCTCGCCAAGCCTTATGTTTTATTTTTCCGGGGTTCAAAATTTATTATCCATTACCGTACTGCACATTTTGCTTTCACCACCAATATGTACTTTTTGATACAGCGTAACTTGTAAACCATATGGAATACAAAAAAACGGACACCACTTCTAGTGTTGGGCTTTACATGCTCTACAAAATGCAAAAAAGAATGGGTCTCTAGGATTAACGGTTCCCGAATTAGAGACAATTTTCAGTTTCGGTATCTTATGGCCGCTACTCCTGTGAAAATGCACCGATTGACCCCAAATTCACGGAGATGAAAGATGACCCAAAGGGTAACACTTTCCAATAATATTATTGGTTAAGTCTGTGTGGTGTCTGAATAACAGCGCAATTTTTTTTTCATAAAAAAAATTGTTTTTTTGAAAATTTTGGCCCGTTTGACCTTGAAATAAAGGTCAAAGGTCAAATCCAAGGGCATATTTGAAATCTACACATACGACTTTTGGAAACCCGTCTGTAGAAATTTTTCCCATGATTCCTTCTGTAGGGTAGATAATTAGCATTTAATTTTGCCATTTTTGGACAAGGGTGCATTGCAATGAGTGCCACACCTAACCCCAATACCGACAAAGCCCAAATTTTACATGGAACGAGTTGAGATTATAGGTGACCTAAATCCAAGAGATGGGTATGGAGGCCCTTACCGTCTAGGAGGAGAAGCAGTAACGGTAACATGGCGGCGGAGCCGGCGGAACGGACAGGACGGGACTAAAACCATGCGTACCGCCAGCGCCAATGCTGGTGGTACAATTAGTTCAGCTAGAGGATAATAGAGGCGATACCGCCTCCAAGTATTGTACCACCAGCTGGGGAAGCACATCTGCGGGAAAAAAAAGGGACACCGCCTCCAGTGTTGTACTTGACAAGCTTTACAAAAAGCAGTTAAAGAGTTCTCTTTTTTTTTTTTTTTTCTTCTGAAAACTACAATTTATAACAAAATCATTGGGAAAAATAAAAGGTAAAATCCAAGTTTGTGAAGTGCAGTTTATGGCATGAAGGAGGTCAAATTCAAGGTCACAGGAAGACTGTCAATATATGAGTTCCTATTCAAGTTCAGCAGTATCAATGGGCATATCTGTGCCAATTTTAGAGATATAAGGGACAGAAAATTTGCAAAGATCAGTTCACTGTGAAAAGTAGGCCAAAGTTCAATTTCAAGGTAATAGTTAGATTGGCAGTATAAGACTTCCCATTCAAGTTCAATATTAACTTTGGCCGTATCTCTGCCAGTTTTGGAGATATAAGGGACAGAAATCTTACTAAAGAAAAGTAGGTCAAAGGTCAATTTGAAGGTCACAGTTAAATTGCCAGTATATGACTTCCTATTTAACTTCAATAGTTACTAAGAGCAGTTTGGGAGATATAAGGAACTAAAATGTGGCAATTTTGGAGTTACAGTAATGTGCTATAAATTTCGTACAGAAGAAATTAATTGAAATAAAGAAAAGGTCATTTTGGTTAAAATTTATGAAATGGGAGATGCTTAGGAATTCCAGATGTTCCAATTTTAGGAAATAATGTCATTTTTGACCAGAAGATATCTGTCTCGCTGTGCCTTATGTTATCTTTTCCAGATGTTCGAAATTTTTATAACTCTATGAAAAACAAAAAAAAATGTACACCAGTGTTGGCTTGACATGCTCTATCAAATGCAAAAACACAAGATGTCTCTAGGACTTACAATTACAATTTCAGTTTCGGCATCTTATGGCTGCTGCTCCCATGAAAATGCACCGATTGACCCCAAACTCAGAGATGAAAGATGACCCTAACAGTAACACCTGCCAATAATATTATAGATTAGGTCTGTGTAGTTTCTGAAAATCAGCACAAATAATTTTGTTTGCAACAAAAACCCGTTTTTAGAAAATTTTGGCCCATTTCACCTTGAAATAAGGGTCAAAAGTGAAATCCAAGGGCCTATTTGAAATCTCCACATTTCGGTCAGCCATCTATAGAAAATTTTCCCATAATTCCTTCGGTTTGGTTGATATTTAGCCAATGTTTGGCTATTTTTCCCAATTTTGGACAAGGGTGCATTGTGACAAGTGCCACACCTAGACCCAAGTACCAACAAAGCCAAAAATTCACATGCATCGAGTTGAGATTATATGTAACCTACATACAAGAGATGGATACAGGGGCACTTGTACAGGTAGTTTAGGAGGAGAAGTTGTAATGGTGACATGGCAACAGAGCTGGCAGAGCCAACGGAGCTGGCGGACAATACTGATCGGGACTAAAACCATGTGTACCGCCAGCGACGCGCTGGCGGTACAATAATGAGACTGTTAACATACCTTAGAATAAAATCTGAGGAAAACCCACTTATAAACAAAAGAGGTATAACTTCATCAAAGCTGAACCAATCAAGCTGATCTTCAAACTTTTAGTATGATTGATCAATTTCAGCAATTTTTAAGACGAGCGGCCTATTGGTTTTCCTTGAAATGTGTTATCAGTGTTGCAGATATAGTGGAAAATGCAAAAAAAAAAAAAAAAAAAAAAACAGCATAAAATTTGTAAATTTAGTCTGATCAAGTGGATTTTCAAACTTGACCTGTATTTTAGTAAGATTGATCACTCCTGTGGCTTTTAAGACAATAGGCCAATCAGCTTTCCTTGAAATGTGTCATCACTGTTGCATATATGCTGAAAAAAGTGACAAAACAGCATAACTTTTGAAAAATAACCCAATCATGCTGATTTTTTAACTCGACCTGTGTTTTATGCATATCCATCAGATCTATTAGTTTCAAGCCAAAATGTTTATCAGTTTTCCACTTATCGTGGTATCGGTGAAAGTGCACAGCAACTACAGCGATGACAGATGCAGGTAACATCTATTTGTACAGACACATCTGTCTCTGTACATAAAAAACCACCTACAATGCTGTGCTTGACAAGCTCTACAAAATGCAGTTGAAAATTACAATTTATAACAAATTCATGGGGAAAAATAAAAGGTCAAATCCAAATTTGTAAAGCAGGGCTCGACATTAATGCTCAGGGCCACTGAAAACAAATCTGGGGCCAGTGAATCAAATGTGTTTGGCCTTGAATTAAAGGTCAAAGGTCAAATCCAAAGGCATATTTGAAATCTCCACATGTGACTTTCGGTCATCCATCTATAGAAATTTTTCCCATAATTCCCTCAATATGGGAGATTTTTAGCCTTTAATTTTGCAAATCTTGGACAAGGGTACATTGCCACAAGTGCCACACCTAGACCTGTACACCAACAAAGCCCTAAATTCACTTGGAACGAGTTGAAATTATATGTGACCTAAATCCAACAGATAGATACCCAGGCTCTTGTAGTCTAGGAGGAGAAGTGGTAACGGTGACATGGTGGTGGAGCCAGCATATGATACGGATACGGTGGACGAGACGCTGGTGGTACAATAATGCCTTTTTCAATGGAACATTTTTGCTTCTAAACAAATACTTATCACATAATAATGGCACCAGATTGTAATTCAACCCCTATTTACCAAATTTAATGATAACATGTTACTTGTTTACAGTGTTAAGCAGAAAACTGATTATAATCTCACACTAATTTACAAAGCAGAAAAAGTGATGATTAACTCTTCACCACTTGAATAGCAACAAAAAAGGAGTTTGTGCTATAAATAGTTTATTTCATTGTACTAAGATGAGCATTCCACATAAAGGAAACTGGAAAAAGGCCTTTTTGTCAAATGTAGGCTTTTTTAATGAAGCCAACCCCTTAATAAAAGACTGGATACTGTAATTACTCAATCTTTTCAAAGGAAGAAAACTGTGAACTTTACAGTTACTGTACTTTTTTTGTCATAATTTCTAAGGCTTCATTCACATGCAATGTCTATTTTCTAAATTCTATTTTCTATTCGCGCTATCTTATGATCACGGTCTGTGCCCTGAATATCCCGCGGCGTAATTACTGGCAGCACGAGCCAGTTACTATAAGCAAACGAAGTGTGAACGAAGCCTAAGACTGTGAAGGAAGCCTAAGACTGCATTGCCATAGATTTAGATCGATCCATCTGGATCGACCTAACTCCCTGGGGGTTCACGCTAAATTGCTGTCAGCTCAAGAGGCTTAAATGTCTGTCATGCCTACCGAATCAGCTAGGGTAAAGATAATTACCCCCTAACAGCTTTACTAGGCGTGACAGATATTTACACCAGCGAAGTTGACAGCAATATAGTGAGACTCCCCAGAGGGATAGATCGATCTAAATATCCGTGGGAATGCAGTCTAAGAATAGAAGATTCTTACTGAGTGATAGAAACAAAATTAAAAAGTAGGCAACTCTATTGTTCTATCCTATACGGTAAAAGCACCACAAAGAGAAGTTTGGGGTAGTAAAATGACATTTTATGGCGACAACAATCTCCAGAGCTTATTGATGCACATTCCGCACATGAAATATAATTTTTATGATATTAAAATTATACATATTGATTTATTTTGTCCATTGAAAAGATCAGTAATTACTGTAAAAGAAAACTTGAAAACTTCTTTTATATTATACTCGTATACTTCATTTCTCAGGCAAATTATGTCATGTCTCAAAAAAAAAAAAAAAAAACTTAACAAATATGTAAGTAGCCTGGGGCCGGTTTCACGAAGCTGTCTTTAGTTAGTGATCGGTTGCTAGAATCTTGCTAGTTATAAGTGCCATTTCACGAAGCTATCTCTAGTTATCTCGTTCGTTATTGTGCATTGTTACCATGGATATTTATCAACTGGTCAGGCAACTCGCAAACTCTAGAGTTTCATCATAATTATGCGTAAAGAATGAAAGAGAAAGGTTGCTTAGTTAACGTTTTCTGTTGTTTGTATGCAATATGATATGGCGGCTGCCTCTCTTGCCATCCGTGCCGCCAGAGGGCAACGGAGTATATGATGTTTTCATCAGAGGCAAAATCCATTAGAATCCATCAGTCTGAGAATAAATGAACAATGATGAAAATTATAATAGGTTTCATCTGTCAGTGATAAGACAAACAGTGGAGAGGTAGTGGAGATCCTTTACGACGACATCACAGCAGACATTCGTGTGCGGTTCATGTGCGGTTAAAATGTTAGAGAGTTAGGACATTTATGGCACTTTCTTGAGAAGTATTCTCGTTAGCGAGATAGTTCTGTCGTTATTTATACTAACTGATGACTGCTTCGTGAAACAGGCCCCAGGTGTGAAGATTGACGTACCTGAGGAGTGATATCAGCTTATCACTGTGCTGTGGGAGGGCAGTGTACTGACCAGCATGGCTTAGGACAGTACTGACCACTGCAGAGGTCACATAAAAGCCATGGTTAGCATCAGGTGGGTACTCTGTCCACTTTAGAAATGTCCTGTCAAAGTCTATGCTGACCTTAGTGGTGGTGTTAGCAGGAAGCTTTAGAATAACTTCCATTAGACATGGTTGCTGTCGGTCCTTGGCTTGGACATAATGGATATGCACTAAAACATGACAATGATAGAAATCTACAATGACTTTGTACATCAACAACTTCAACTTTAAACTCTTTCAGTTGAGACAAATTTTTGAAATTATAATGACAAATAGCTGGCAATATTAATCTTGCATGTGACAAGCACCATTAGAGTAACTGAAACCTCTCTATTCTCATTTAATTCTCAAGGAACCTTTCTGATTGAATATTCTCTTATCTTGCACTTCTCATCTTTCCCTCATTTCATCTTCCCCTTCTCATCTACCTGACCTATACAGAAATCTGAAGAATTTTTTGCACCATTCACTGCTCTGGCTAAACAACCAATGCCACATTTGCATCAACAGTGAAAAGTCTTGATGCCTTGCATATGGGAATACTTAATAAACAGGCCTAGTAAACTTTCATCTCAGTCAAAAGCTATCTATCACAGGCTTTATAGTAGAAGCCTTGGTTCACACAAACCTGCTTACTTATACATATATCAAAGCTTGGACATAATAACGAAAGGACGTGAAACGAGGAGCAAGATCAAAGGATAATCGGCTTAGTGCGAGCTCTTCATGAAACCATGTGCGTTCGGACCTCCCGTACAGGTAGCGAGCATATCGCAGTTGTCGATGACTTTTTGTGACAATTGGGCAGGTAGTTCGCGATAACGTGAGGCAATCCTTCCGGTGGATGAGACAATCAACTTATAGAGATTAATTATAAGTACAATTTGTTCTATCAATTTGGAAGCTATGTGAGAATTTGATATGTTTGTTCATGGAGAAATTCAAAACGTGGTATGTGGTAAAGGCAATCTTGTTTGTTGCCATAAAATGAGCATTCAAAATTGTATAATTGTAGTGCAGCGTACTTGTTTTTAGCTAAGATCCAATAGGAAAATATTTCTAGTGTCGAATTTTTCTCTCTGTGTGAGAAATGAGCCTGCAATGCGGGAATAATGAAACCTTCAATCGTGTCTTGAATTAAAATGATGCAGTTTCTCTCCGATTTCTTAGGTTGCTGACATTTCTTTTAGACCGGTATTTTTTATTCACCTTTTAAATAAAGATGACATAAACACTGCTGTATACTTTGCTTAAATTAGTGCGATTTGCTAAAATATGCGTGATTTTTAGGATGATAATTAATATTTTCTACTCTCAATACAGGCTCTCGTTGCAATATGGCACCACACATGCATTTGTGACACACAAAAACGCACCCGTAATGCCTTTTAATGTCCCTTTATCATAGTTGACATCCACACTTTTGTGAACTGTATATATATGTTCATTTTACCGGCTAACGTCTTCTTGAATTTGGGGTTGCTCGTTAATATTGTTTTACCCTCAATATCGGTTCTCATTGCAATATGGCAAAACACATGGATTTGTGACAAACAAAAAAGTGCCCGGAGTGCTTTTAATAACCTTTTTATCAAAGTTGACATCAACACTACAGTGAACTGTATATATACTGTATATATATGTTCATTTTACCGGCTATTGTCTGCTTGAATTTGGGGATGTTAATTGATAATTTCATTACCCTCAATATCAGCTGTCGTTGGAAAATGGCACCACACATGAATCGGCCGATATATTGCTTTAAAACCACTTATACATCAGCTCAACATAGATCAATACAATCTTTGAAATGATAACAAGTATAGACAAATGCCAGAACCTGTTTTAATGAGGTTACAAGAAAAAGATACTGAAAACTCGAAACAAATTTCCACGTGTTGACGCAAGCTTATGTGCGCGCAACTGCAAGATGGCGGCAATGCTTTATCATAGCAACCACGAGGGACCGCGAGAAATTATGTTATCCATGTTATCAACAAAAGAAAATCACTGAGGCACAGAACATGCTACCTTGATAATAAGCTGTTCAGGCTCCCATGGAGCTAACAAAACAGCTTATCTGAGACAATGGGCGAATGTTTACCCGAATGCACATAGCTTCAAAGGAAGAAGCCTTGTTTCATGTCCTTTCGTAATTATGTCCAAGACAAGAGGGATAACAACTGTTCGTATGAGATTCATATTAAACAATAAAACATTGTAAACAACTCAAAGAAATATAATAAACTCTATTGGATATTGGAATTATTCTGAAATCTGCGCTTGCCATCAGACCAGACATGAAATTTCAAAGATAGCTATACATGTACTTCCGTAATAATTTCTGTAGCATATTGTAACCCTTAATTACTATCTTCTAGATACAGAAAATAATTTTTTTCCTGCATCTAATTATTCAATAATGCATCAATAAAAAAAATGAAAATATAAAATATAAGCATTTTTACTTCTCATTGCAATGTTTAACCACAAGCAACTCAAAGGTTAAAGGGATAATAACTCTTCATTTAATGAATCCATTTTTACATTCAAAGTTAGTCCCTGGTTTTTCTTTTCTAAAAAGTTTTTTTTTTTTATATCATCTCTTAAGAGATCATAACAGATGGAGGTCACATGGTCTAAAGACAAGCTCAGATATCAGAATAATAGCTTTAACTGTCGTTTTTTGTGGTAAAACAGAATATATTACATTTCTTTGAGTTGTTCACAATGTTTTTATTGTGAAATATAGATCTCATACGAAGAGTTATTATCCCTTTAAATTGTCAATTTAACACCTTTCAACTTGGAGGTGAGATAACAAGTGTATGAGACACTTTCAGTTTTTACCTCAAAATTGCAATTACGACTTCACCCATCATGCCTTTCTACCGAACAAAGTGACTCAGTAAATTTAAAGTAAAGCAAAAAGACGGTTTGGCAGTTATGGGTCAATCATCACCAAAATTGTGTGAAAAAAAAATAGATAAAAAATAATTTAAAAATAATTACTGTACATGTAAACTGATCATGCTGTTTTTTGAAAGCAACCTGCTTCTTTGCCAAACAAAGCTACATAGTGTGGGGCCAACGTCACCAAAATTATGCAAAAAAAAAAAAAAATAAATTAATTAATTAAAAAAAAGCAATAAATACTGGAAATGTAAACCATTCATACAGATTTTCGAAAGCAACATGCTGCTTTACCAAACAAAGCCACTTAGTAAATTTAATTTAAAACAAAAATACGGTTTGGCTGTTATGGGGTGAACTTCACCAAAATAGTGCAAAAAGAAAAAAAAACAGAATAATTACCTAAATGTAAACTGATCATGCTGATTTTTGAAAGCAACCTGCTTCTTTGCCAAACAATGCCAGTCAGTAAATTTAAAGTAAAACAAAAATATGATTTGGAAGTTATGGGGCAAGCATCACCAAAATTGTGCAAAAAATAAATAAATAAATAAATAAATAAATAATAATAATAATAATAATAATAATAATAATAATAATAATAATAATTACCATAAATGTGAATGAATCATGCCGATTTTCGAAAGCAACCTGCTTCTTTACGAAACAAAGCAACTCAGCATATTTAAAGTAAAACGAAAATATGGCTTGGGATGAATGTCATGCGTCGGACAGCGACAACAATGTTGACAACATGGACAGACAGAATTATCAGAATATATATAGGCACTTACAGTGTCTGTATTTTCAAGCTTCTCATTGTCAAAGACAGAAGTAAAGGGGGGATGGAACATGTAAACTTGTGCCAGCAAGTAATCAATTTGATGGACAGTAAATTGTCTAAAAGTATGCTCAGATGGTATGAATGAAGCATTGTACTATAGTGGGAGTACCATATATTTGAGCATTGTTTATGAGGATGGTGGTGTGACATCTGCTCATGGTTTAACAAGCAATGATCTAAGAAAACATGATGCAAATCAGTTACCTTAAACAAAATTGACTTTAATCTGTCGAATTTTAAGATCAATGTGTCAGTTATCTGAGGTATAAATCAATGTATAATCAATGTTGGATTTCCTTAAATTCAAGTGCACATGCTTCTATGGTTTGTCTTTTGCCAGTATCTTGGAGTTTTTTAAACTGACTTTATGGGAACAGGTGTTAAGATATTGCCTGATGCCACAAGAATTGTCAGATATAACATGTTATTTAGTCTCTAAGAAAAGGATAATTCTATTTTAGTTACCACATCATTTAACTCACATGGGTTTTCCTGCATTCCATCTATCTCCACTTTGAGTGTGTGGAAATACATTTTAATGAACCATGGGACCATCTCCATGTAGATGACAGTGAGATTCTCCTTAGGGTCAGTGTTGAACAACATAGTTACAATGCCACCATTTTCTTGGCCAAAACCTGGAGTGTTATACAAAAATAAATTAATATTACATCTGACACATTCCAACACATACAAAAATGCTGTAAATGTTTCTAGTTCATAAACTGAGTCTTTTGGATTAACCAAGCTATTTTAAAATTGCTTAACAGACCAAGGACTTGCAAACTATAATACAACAAGGAAGCATTCTTGCTGCAAGACATAATAAAGAGTCCTAGATACTTTTGTAAATTCAATGCTGCTATTTACAGTAATGCCTCAATCTTTTCAATGAGCAAAAATTATCAAAATTTCAGATACAACGTTTTAAAATCACAAAAATTATATTTTTATAGCATTTGGAGTGCTTTTAATGCACAAAATAGAACTATAAGATAGTCTGCTTTGAAATTTTGTTGCAACAACTCTAATGCTCTAATTTAAAGAAATTATGAAAAAATACATTATCTGTAAAATTCACAATTTTTTTCCCCACTGAAAGGGTCAAGGCATTACCATAACGTGAGAACTGCGATCCAGTACACACAATCCTTTTTTCTAGTTTCTAAAATGTATTTATGGATTTGGAAGAAGTGTACCAGCTATAACTAACATTAATTAATTACATTCATATACTGGAAAAAGCAATAAAATATATATATATATATATATATATATATATATATATATATATATATATATATATATATATTTTTTTTTTTATTTTTTTTTTTAACAACATAAGGACAACAGTTGAAAAAATAGCATGCCTTCCATGGTGCATTTTGTTTACAATAAATTATCTATTTATCTGTGTATCTAGCTATCTATTTGTTGTTTTATTATAATACAACTATGATATGAGGGAACTGGGAATATTTAGGTGGGGGTGCAAGAATGGGGAATCCCCCATACTCTCATGCTCTCAGTATACATGTATGCTGTACTCCCATAGGGTTAACCATCACAGAGTTAAGTCGATCCGTGTAGTCTGATGGTGTCTTAATGTGAATGGGGCCTTAAACATGTCATTTACACCTTCCTGGCGTATGCTTAATATAACATTTATACAGTAATCCACTGCTGAGCATGACTACAGAAAGTGACAACTACAAACCTGTAATAAATCTGTGAGCATGAAGTTGCGGTGGTTGTGGTTGTTTGTATATAACATTCCTGTTGTACTTTGCTGCCAGATTTAGTCCACTGGGAGGTCTTTTCTTGGCATCATAAATGGCGAATTTTCTTTTGTCTCCACCTCTGGTGGCAGTCTCCACCCTGTCAGGTGGAGGACTGAGATGAAAGTGGTAAGCGAGAGTCTGGAACAATTTCAACATGATTACCAAAATCTATTCATTACTTCACATGTGCAAGGAGGCTTAGTGACCTCACTTGAAACTAGGGGATCAGAGAAGATACTGCCTCCAGGTTTTTTATGCCACCAGTGGTAGTATATTCCAGTTCAATGAATATCATGGGCAAATTTTTTCTAGGTTAAGAAATGTAAAGTCTAGTATTTTTAAAAGTGCATTTTACGACAGAATTGTCACCAAAATTGTGCAAATAAATAAATAAAACAGAAAGAACTGATCATGCTGATTCTTTAAAGAAACCTGCCTCTTTACCAAACAAAGTCACTCAGTAAATTTAAAGTAAAACAAAAAGAGAAGTTTGGTGTAGTCAAACGACATTTTATGGCGTCAACAATCTCCAGAGCTTATTTATGCACATGCGCATTTCACACATGCTCAATTCTCCCATAGAGGGGTAATCTCAAATGAAATTCACATTGCTATTTATATCAAGGGAGCGTCACTACCTAACCCCATTATGCACTTGATTCATTCTATTAGCGTGCATAATACCATTAATCGAACAACCAATATTCTTTGTTCCCTTCTTTCTTGTTGTGAATGGGATTATGGAAGTTTGTGGTGCACTGAGATGGAGGAGTTATAAATACAGTTTGGCAGTTGTGTCTGACAGCAACATCTACAGCGACGACACAGACCGATGGATTGATCAGAATATATATAGACACTTACAGTGTGAGTGTCTGTCTATAAAAATTGTTACACTTGACAAGATTTTCAAAATGCAGGTCTTTACTTTTTACAGTTCAAAAATTACAAAGAGTTTGCAGTTTCATAATCTAATGAATGCTTCTCCAAATGCACCAACTGACTCCAAACCCAAGTGTAACTTCTCAACATAATATAAAAGTTAAGGTCTATGCAGTATCTGAAAATACGTACAAATAATTTTACACAAAAAATTCAGATGTTTACAAAATATCTGCCTGTTTCACCTTGAAGTGTAGGGCAAAGGTCAAATCTAGTGGCACATATGATTTCTAAATTTGACTTCCTATTAATGAATAGTGTCTGTGCTGGTTGTACAATAATATATAAAAGTGATAAAGTGTAAGATTTCTAAAACCAATTCTTGTTGAAGTTATCTGAGGACAAAAAAACATCTGACCCACTTGATTGCTTGTTGCATAATCCCGATAGGGGTCTATAAAGGGATAAGATGGTAAGCTTTTTGGTGGGACGCCAAATATGGCCGACACACTTGAATACTTCCCCATGGGGAATCTGTTCGGTGTCTAGCAGTGGATTAGATGGCATATTTGACCCACGGACTACTTAGTCCATTGTTCTGAATGCAGCCTTTGAAGTTTGGTTGACATTTTAATACTCTGGAACACTGGAGCAGTAAAAGTAAAGCATCTCAGCAGTAAAGTATCTGAGTGCAGGGGCAGGTCAAGCAACAATTCATGGGTAGCTGAAAATACTCCTTTTTTTCTTTCAAGATAAATTCCATTTGGCAGGAAAATCCTTGATAGGACATCTGCAGACCACCAGTAGTCACAGAATTGAAGTGGATATCTTGTATAGGAAATGCTGTTCTAGGGAAGAAGTTATGTCCAATACCTATAGCTCAAACTTTTTTGCAGATGTCATTACCTCTGCCAAGGAGATTGTTTTTGGTTCTGTTTGTCTGTTAGAAACATACCAAAAAACAAACAAATATACTGACAGTCAATGAAAATGCATCAAAAAAACTTGCTAGTATTTTTTTTTTACCGGGAATCAATTCCAACCATATAAATGAGTACAAATGCAGTTGTTTGGTCATAAGATAGTGGGCTGACCACTCGGATGTTTAAAATTTCCGCTTCAGTGATTTTGTGATCAGCTGTTACAAAATCATGTGTTTTTCCTGTCTCGTGATTGGTGTGAATTAATCAGGTTCAATATATGGTGATTAATTAAGCCTATTTAGGGTAGTCACCAAATCCAGTGTGACACATGACAAAAAAGCTCAGTAATGTCACATCTGACACTGAAAGAGTGACTGCGGGCCCTGGGGATGCTGGAGGATGGGCGGAACCAAAGAGATCTGATCACGTGACATTGCATTTTAATGATCTTTTCTGACCTTTATTTCACCTTGTGTGACTGAATAATGGGTCATATTTCACACGAAAATGGTTATTTTCTTAATGTGCCAAAGGAACTTAGAATATTATTTGATAAATAAATGATGAGTTTTCATTGACTGTCAGTATAGATTTTGAGGTCATTAAGTCAGTCAGAAGAATCAAGTCAGTTAAGTCAGAAGTTGTTAGGTCAGTCAGAAAATTTTTACCAATGTTTTGAGACATGGGTCCCACTTTATAGTCTTAATGATTAAATGAAAATAACATGAAATTAAATGAACAGGTTACCTTATTGCCAGTTATATCCACTAAAATGTGGCTTGCTTCTGCAACAGGACAGGAATTAGTTAAGAAACGACCAAACAGCGACTTGAATGACCAGTCTGGAAAGGAAAAATGAAATGAGATCCACAACCAAAGCAGCTTATTTACCATTTTGATGAGATATTGCATGTGATTTTTTTCTCTCATAATTATGACAATTTTTAACAAGGCAGCAAAGCTGTCAAATGTACAGACAGCTAGAAAGGAAAATATCCAATCTAGCTGGTTTGCAAATTTGAGCTGTATGTCAATCATCTTGTAAGTTACAAAATAATAAGTAACACAGCTTTCCTTTTAGAGCATTTGTAGTGGCAGAAAACAAAATATTTTGGTCAATTTTGATGCAATGCCACATAATGCTTAACAGCTTATAATAACCATCAATTTTAGATTATGCAATGCTGATACATAAATATCTAGAAAATGTGACTAGCAAAAGTCTTCAAGGCCATGGATAGTCAAAGTCACATCTTAAAAATGCCAATATTTATGCTATCTCACCTCAAAATAGAAAGGAGTTATATTACTAAGTTATTCAAATAAAAATGTTTAATGAAATTGAATTACATACCCATAGATTAAATTTTTACCAGAGGCCTGTGTCATCATAGAAAAATCATTACAGTTTTGTTTTAGTAAAATGTTGGACCAAAGGATATAGAAACACTTCTCATACCAAACTGATACACATTGCACTTATATGTCTATTCATAACTGTTATCTTTTTAAAATATGATGGGCAGTATATTTTATTTAAACTATATCTTTAATATTTATTTTCAAGGTTGAATCAAATTTCATATCAATACTATATCTTAATATTATATGTGCATTCAATATATGTTTTATATATTGCAAAGAGTACAATAACTCCTTAATATCATTATTATATCAATCAGTGAGTTGGAATCTCCAAAAGTCAATAAAAAATTCAACTCTTATAAAAAACTGAAGCTGCAAAATTGGCAATGAATATATTTCTGCTTTTTTAAAAATGCTCAGGAGTAGACCCAGTACCTTGCTTGCCACCCTGTCGTACTGGTGGTTCATAGACAACAGCTAAACTCTGGACCAGCTCTACCCCTGTGGTATCACACTCTGCATCCTAAAACACATTGAAAACAAAATACATCAAAGGGCACTAAAAGGATTCTTGTGAGTTGATTGGGGGAAAGGGGGAGCTCTTGAAATTTTTACTTAACTTTTTGTGACAAGTTAGGATGGCTTTCCACATCAAATAGCATTCTTAACAGTATGTCATCTACAAATTACTGTAAAATTTCTAAACACCTCCGTGTAAATAATTTTAGTAAAATTACTCAATAATCAATAAATGCAATCAAGAAGAATGAGTTATTTTTACGAAGTTATGATTTTAAGGATATTACAACCCTTTATTATCATCCAGATACCAAAAATGAGGTTTTCCCTGCATCTAATTATTCAACTAGAGGATCAGAGAGGCAATACCACCCCTGGGTATTGTACCACCAGCCAGAGTAAGCTCATTTGTATGGAAAAAAAAAAGGACACCACCTCCAGGGTTGTGCTTGACAACCTCTACAAAATGCAGTAAACAATAGTTCTCATTTTTTTGTTGAAAACTACAATTTGTAACTGAATCATGGGGATAAGTAAAAGGTAAAATCAAATTTGCCACTATATGACTTCCTATTCAAGTTTTGAAATAGAAATGTGCAGCAAACCTTAATGCTAATGCCTTCAAGATCTCAACAAAAACTGGAAGTCGTCATGGCATCAATGTATTAAGGAAGCTGCTAGGTGTTTTCTGATGAGAAATATTTTGTAGCTTATGCAGATGTTGAGAAAATAACCATGCAGATAATAAAAAATTCAATTGTCAAAATCTAAACTGCTTAAAATCGTTTATTTCTGATCTTGAATTGTCAGTGTAAACAAAGTGTGCTGATCACATCATAAACAATCATTCGAATGCCTCATTTGGTGCTAGGTACCAGACGCTTTATTTAACTTGACAACACAGTGGTTACGTTGTGCATGACAGGAAAAACATAAATAAGGTACTTCTGGTTTTCGTCGATTTCTTAAAGGTGTCGATTTCTTGAAGGGCGAGTATAAATACATTACTGAATAATTAGATGCAGGAAAAAACTCATTTTTTGGTATCAGGATGATAATAAACCCCTAACAGCATCCTAACTTTTGAAAAAGCATTAAAGAACACAGAAGAACCAGCTACTTACTGTACATACAGATTTGTAATAAACTCCCAGTGAATGATAGGATGTGTCATACAGCTTTCCAGACTTGAAGAATGTAGAGAGGCCAGCCTAGTAAAAAAGAAAATAATGCACACTAAGTAATGAAAACTTTTTATAGTAATGTAATGATAACTTTTTATAACGCGCAAAACGCAATCCGCAATTCCATGGTTCATGTCAGCTTTACATACAGCCGCTCAAAGAAAACCCAAGGACACATAATGACCAGTTTAATCAGTTTATTTGATGACGCTCTCTACAGCCCGGGAGCCACCGGTCTGCCGCTAGGTGGCTTTTAACCAAACCGGAAGTTCTAGAATTTGAATTGTGTGCATTTTTTTTAGATTTATAGGGTGTCAGAAACGGTAGAATATCTTGACTACTAAGGGTATGAGAGTTTTGTTATGTATACTGTCATCTTTAGAAATAAATTTCAAATGATGTGAGATGTTCCTCGAGTTGATCTAAACCCTATTTTGTGTTCAAAAGTGAATTTGAAATCGAAGTTTTACCAAAGCTGTAACGGGAGTTCAACTTTACCTCTAATGCTTGCATTTTTAGAGAACAGGTTCCAACTTCAAATTATCAGTAAATTGTGGCAAATTTATTCAGCATGTAAGGAACTTTACCGTTATCCAGGAATGGCACAAATTGATTCACACCCGTGTATGTAAAAAAAATCGTACTTGCAACAACCGTAAGCCAGCCTCGTTTTGACTTAGTACATTGTTGTTGTAATCTAACCTTGTTTTGAATTCCCCACCCGCACAATATTGTCTATATAGAGAAGAGAAGCTTAGAAAAACAGTCCAATTGGCTTCTTTTACACTGCATAACTTTTTATAATAATAATAAGAACAATATTTATTTATTTATAGTCTAAAATCCATATAAAATTTTCAGTAGACTTTACATGGGTAAAGGAAGAATGGAGGAAATGAAAACACAAACATTTCATATTTTTTTTGTAAATAAACATTTATCTATTACACGAGGCCACCCGCTGCCAGTTTCTTTTTATTGAAATAATAATAAAAACAAAACAAACAAGACTTTTTTATCAATCTAATTTGCTTTTTGTTTGTTACATATGAACCACTATATAACATTTAAAACAATATCATCAACAAAAATATCAATATTGTGAAAGCAAACAGGGATTAAAGCTGATGCAAATATACATGTATATTTGTGGCAAAAATTATTTTTACTTTAGCAACACATTGATATGGCAATTATTTTACACTTCTTGATCATAACATACAGTTACCTGTATAGCCACAGGACACACTACTCCTTTTAAAATCAGGATCAATATAAACAATTAATATAATTTTATTAATTTACCTGGGATCAGAAATTTATATCACTGATACCAGTTAGTCCTGTACCAGTCTATATTTTTATTTGAATTTATTTTTGTAAGTGTCATAGTGGTGATTTCACAGCCAAACTTCATTTAAAAACTTTCACATTTAATGATGTTACATGAATCTGTTAATGTATTTTATTCATTAGAAAGAACTGTAACCAAGTTTTAAAAGAATGTTTTCAGTTTTAAAAGGATTAAATAACTTTATTTATGGCTTCATGATAGCTGCTTGAGCTTCTGTCATAATTGCCAAGGAATGGCAAAATGATTAATCCTTGTCCCTTTCATGTTCTTCAAGCCTAGAAAAATATTAGATTAAAACATTAAAAAGATTTAAAAAGTAACATTCAAAAACACTTTTCTAACTGCATATATCTTTACACACACACACAACAACAACAACAACACACACTAAAATCAGTATAAATAATAAACCACAATCTTGATAATAGGGAAGCTGGTATCAATCGAATTATCTAAAATAGTACTCTAAAAGTGTATCAATATTGATCAATGACCTCATCATCAAGAGCTGAGCAGTGGCAAACATGTGAATCTTTAAATCAATTAAATTCCCATTTAAATGAAGCTCTGAAGTCTACAAACTACAGTGTTCACAACTATAATACACTAATTATTGTACTGGTACACATTATTTATAAATTAAAACAAAGGAGGAATATTGTTAATATAATGTTCTTTTTTTCATGAAACATTTTTCCCTCACATACTTATAACGCATGTGTTTGTGTGTGTGGGAGATTTTAAACAAAAATAAACTGTTCCTTCTAACAAAAATTTGCCTATGATGGCTATCACAATTTGAAAACATATACACAATGTTATAGCACTTGGCATTTTATGATGCACAGTATGCACGTATGTATTGCAAATGGTCAACAAATGGTGGTAACAAATGTAATAAAACTTATTTTGACTAACAAGTTTTCCCCCATATTGATATCGTACATTAGTACCCTGCCAAAGGGGCAAACATGTTAAAAGTCAAAATGTGTTATTCATATTTTTAAAAAGATGCTTGTGGTTGGTTTTCAATTTTGTATCTTTCACAACTATAATTTACAAGCATGTGTGGCCCCACACTCATACCATGCACACACATGCAGGGCAGATAACACTGCTTTTCACTGACATCAACATCCAACAACTATAAATCGACTTTCCCACACCTTGGACAGGGACCACAAGGAAAACACATGGGTAAATGTCCTAGCTAAGCTTTCTCTTGGGCATGATATATTATTCAATTTATGATTAAAATAAAAAATATGTCCAAGTGATATATACCAACAAATTGATATGAAAAGCTACTCACTACTTGGCAATGTATACATGTATATTCAGCTGTGTAACACTGACATCCTAATTGTTATAACACAAGCCTTTGAAATGTCAACACTTTAGGTCACTGAAAGTATAAAAAGGTAGATAAAATATTAAACCTATTATTTTTTGGGCATTCTTGTACATGATAATAATAAATAACTGATAAATATTTTTATCAGTTTATACAAGTTTCACTCCTTTTTCATGGAAATTTCAAAATATTACTTTTTTTTCATCTTACTTAAATCAAAATGCAAAGAAATAGCATGAAAAGGAATATGCAGAATATCTAAAAAAATGGCTTTCATATCCTCAAAAGTGACCTATCCCCCTCTCATAATATATCTATCTATACAGAATCAAGTATAGGCCTACTACATGTCATTTTGCGAGCCATTTCTATTAATAAACATCAAAACACAAAAAAAAAGCATAAGAAGGCAAATTCTCAATATTTTATTGTGACATTCATACAAGACATGAGGCAAGACTGCCTCTATATTCACTCTACTGTGATCGCCCCAACAACACACACTGTCATTTCATGAAGTATTTAATATAGTTAACTTCAAAACACAAAAAAAATTGCAAAAATTCAATATTAAACATCGACATTCATTCAAGATGTAACACAAGACTGCCCATGTAGTTACTCAGAACATTGCAAAATATACTACCTGTCGGAAATGTAGAAAATCGATAAGTTACAGGTTAGGTTCCTACCTAAATTTTTTACCTGTTCAAAAACAAATGTCAAACTATTAAAAAAACTGAACAGATAAAGAAAAATCATTGTTATCTGCATTTGGCACAATTCAAAAGAACGTGTTTACATTTGGGTTCTGTGTGCCGCCACTTTGGAACACGTCAGTAACTTGATAGAAGATTCAGTGAAACCAATACTTAAACACTACTATGGTATATAAAATATAGCTTGAGAATAAACTTTATCGTTCTGTCAAGTGCATTAGTAAAATTATCAACATATCAGCGTATAAACGTTTGTTCATCTTACCTGTCTCTATGCCTGCTCCTCCCGCCAAATTGGCTAAGGCCGCCGCTTCAAGTTTTGAAAACGAGGCCAAATCTAATATTCTCCAAAATAACCGTCATATGAGCCGGTGGCTCCCGGGCTGCTAGCTACATGATCAACATGAAGTTTTCAACTATTGAACCATCTCCCATGGCTCACGTCCATCTTCCTAGCTCTCTAACAGTCCCTCTCCAAATCTCTCTCAATCTCAACCCCCAGATATTTCTTCTGAAGGTCTTATATACAAATGCATTATCTATGGTGGATTCAATGCCACACTCTTTGGCGGTGCATACTAATTTTAATTACTCAAATTGCACACCTCCACTAGCGTTATATAATAACATGTTAGGCCATAAAACAAGTCAAGTGCACTAGCAAGCGACTTCATTAAGATTAATTAACAAGTCTGGAGATTATATTTGTGAACTGAACAACCACATGTATAATATATCATCATATTTTGACAAATGATATGGACAGAATCTTCAGTTTTGTCAATTTAATATGGCAATGTTAATTTGTACCAAGTATGGTTGGGGGGGGGGGGGTATAATCTTTTTCTTTTTGTTACTATTATTATTATTTTGTTTTAGTCAAATTTCAATTCTTTTATCCATATAAAATTATCTTAGCCAAATGAGAAATTTTTTTGTCAAATCCAAAATAATGACTTCACAAAAATAATTCAAAATGGATTATTTTATGTGTGTGTATAGCATTGTTATATTGATGCAAACATCATTACCTCCACCAAGGAGGTTACATGTATGTTTTCACCCCAATTTGTCTGTTTGTTTGTTTGTTTGTCTGTCTGTCATCAACATAACTCAAAAAGTTATGGACCGATTTTGATGAAATTTTCAGGAACTGTCAGAAGTGGGCCAAGGAAGAGATGATTAGTTTTTGGTGGTGATCCGGATCAATAATCAATCAATAATCGATAATAATAAAAAATCGCTGCCTTGGTGGAGGTCTTTTCTAGTTTAAATTTTTTAAACAAGGCGGCAAAGCTGTAATATGTATATACCAAAACCAGTTCACAGCACTGTAAAATATCAGAAAGCATGGTGAAATATTAACAATTATGCTGTGAATGTAAGGAAATTATAATCTGCATAAAATCAATGCTGCTGGAGAATAATTGATAAGCTGTTCTTTTATCTTCTCCAGTAAATTACCAAACAGGAAAATCAAAGCTTCCAAATGAACAGACATACATATGTCAAAGGATCAATGACATGAAAAGTTTAGGAAAAATGCCATTTTGAATAAAACAAAATTTCACACAATGTTTTCTTTTTTAAGTTGGACTGTAACTACATCATATGAGTCAATACTGCAAGTTTTAGGTAATAGTTGACACTGTCTTCCAATTTCTGGTAATTAGGACTATATAAGAAGGCAGCATAGCTGTCAAATGCACAGACAAAAAGCAGAAAATAATGATGCACAAAAGTTAGGGTGAATTGTATCTGCTCACACCCTGAGGAACTGTAGAACCATGAGCACCCTCAGTGCTCAAGCTGGTGGTACTAATAAATATGCATACATACATTATTGGTAAAATAAAATGAGGCAGCACAGCTGTCAGATGTACAGACAAAAAGCACAAAATAACGATGCACAAAATAAATAGAATATAAGTTCATCTGGATGTGTTATGTATAATGTAGTCATATGAGATTCTTTTTTTCCATCCAAAAGAAAACGAGGTAAAAGATGTTAAAATACCTGTATGTGCAGAAATTTTCAACTGCTCTTTGCTGCAGTCTTCCTCAGTGCTATTGTTTGACCACTAGGTAGAGTGTGGTCAAAATGATTTTATAGACTTGACTAAAATCTTGTGCAGTAAAAATGACAATCTTAAACACAGAATCATGGAATCCATCTATATAAGGAAATCTACAGTGACAATGAACTGTGATTAGGGGAGGCACAGGCTTAGTCCAGTCTATAACTGCTGGACTACTATGCTACTGTCAATTCCGATGCAATAATACATTATGTTTTTAAACTGAAAAGTCAACAACAAATTTTAATTATGCACACCAGGTAAAATGGAGGAAAGTAAAGTGGGTAACTAGCATAAGGATTCATGACCAAGACTGTTCAAGTTTACACTTTGAAAATGCCAGAATGAGAAAATGAAAATTTCATAAAAACTTGCATAAATTCAAGAAAAAAATTATGAAGATGGTTTTCCAATTTGAGCTGCATTTCAATCCTAAGAATCTTTCTTTTAAGTTACAAAATAAACAAAATTTTCTTTACAAAACATTTGTGGTGGCCATGCACAAAGTTGTACAGCACACCATATTAACACTGAGAAATAACACATTTATTTGCTGGATTCATCATCCAAATAACTCTTCTTCTTTCCTCTTTCTGTGGTTCAGCCACCTTTTTAGTTCTGGTGCTGTGCACACTTCAGACAGCTTTTTAGTTCTGGTGCTGTGCACACTTCAGACAGCTTTTTAGTTCTGGTGCTGTGCACACTTCAGACAGCTTTTTAGTTCTGGTGCTGTGCACACTTCAGACAGCTTTTTAGTTCTGGTGCTGTGCACACTTCAGACAGCTTTTTAGTTCTGGTGCTGTGCACACTTCAGACAGCTTTTTAGTTCTGGTGCTGTGCACACTTCAGACAGCTTTTTAGTTCTGGTGCTGTGCACACTTCAGACAGCTTTTTAGTTCTGGTGCTGTGCACACTTCAGACAGCTTTTTAGTTCTGGTGCTGTGCACACTTCAGACAGCTTTTTAGTTCTGGTGCTGTGCACACTTCAGACAGCTTTTTAGTTCTGGTGCTGTGCACACTTCAGACAGCTTTTTAGTTCTGGTGCTGTGCACACTTCAGACAGCTTTTTAGTTCTGGTGCTGTGCACACTTCAGACAGCTTTTTAGTTCTGGTGCTGTGCACACTTCAGACAGCTTTTTAGTTCTGGTGCTGTGCACACTTCAGACAGCTTTTTAGTTCTGGTGCTGTGCACACTTCAGACAGCTTTTTAGTTCTGGTGCTGTGCACACTTCAGACAGCTTTTTAGTTCTGGTGCTGTGCACACTTCAGACAGCTTTTTAGTTCTGGTGCTGTGCACACTTCAGACAGCTTTTTAGTTCTGGTGCTGTGCACACTTCAGACAGCTTTTTAGTTCTGGTGCTGTGCACACTTCAGACAGCTTTTTAGTTCTGGTGCTGTGCACACTTCAGACAGCTTTTTAGTTCTGGTGCTGTGCACACTTCAGACAGCTTTTTAGTTCTGGTGCTGTGCACACTTCAGACAGCTTTTTAGTTCTGGTGCTGTGCACACTTCAGACAGCTTTTTCACACAAGCACCAGGTATGTCACCTTCACATTCCCTTGCTGTTCACAGCAGAGGACTACAGAGACCCCTGCGGCGGGCGGTGCCCTTCGTGCGCACTTCTTATTTCCACAGAAGATGAAAAGGGCTTAAGAAGTCACTCAGTAAATTGAAAAGTTAATCAAAAATACAGTTAGGTACTTATGCAGTGTCCCTCCCCAAAATATATTTAACAATCAATAACATGACCATATGTAACGTACAGTTCCTATTCTCCTAACAAAGGATATAGATCATTTAATACTTTTGAAACCCACTGAGGCAGGGTCTGACACTGGCCGAAGCCCTTCAAATCAAATCTCATTATGTTATCTCCTCATAGACCATTCAAGGTAGGAACTTGGAAACTTTTGGGATTAATAGATCTAGATAATTTTTTTTCCAAATATATAGCCTTAAATTTATTTAATGACTCTAGCACCAATAATATTATTTATATTTCAAAATATATATAGGTGCAGGAATTAAATAAATTTGCAGTGCTTTTACAAACCAGCACCTGCTACTACTGTAAGGAAGGAATTGGTATATAAAATGGCAAATCTAAATTTAAAAAAAGGGGATATATAAAATAAATTTAAAAAACAAAATCCCCAAAAGAAATTTAATTGGTAATAACATAAAAAATAAAGAAATAAACTTTAATATTAATAACATTCTTATAAGGTTTAGTAACATGTAATATTCTTGACTAAATTTTAATAATATTGCACCTTTATGCCTGATTGGGCAAGTGCCTGAAAATCTGTATCTTTTGTCAAACATTGTGATAAACATGCATATTTGTCAAAAAAAAAATTGGGACTACCAAGTTCCCAATTCCCAGGGACACCAGTTGCCAAGAGTTAGCATCGGGCTGCACTGAGGGAGATCTTATATAAGACCAACTGGGAGATCATGATCTTTTGTTTCAATATTGATGCAAAAATGAATTCTACCCTTTACTACCAAGTTACTGCATGTAACCCTTGACAGCTCTCTCCGTCTCCATGTGCACTTTTCTAAAACAGCACAATTAGACCCCATTCCCACAGATTTTAGATCGATCTATCCCTGTGGGGAGTCTCACTAGATTACTGTCAGTTTAGTCGACTTAAATGTCTGTCCTGCCTACTAAAAGCTGTAAGGGGGTAATTAACTACCGTGCGCGCTCGGCTGACACAAATTTAGTGTGAACCCCCAGGGAGTTAGGTCGATCTAGATGGATCGATCTAAATCTATGGGAATGCACTCTTAGTCTACATGGGACCAGGGGCAAAGCTATGTTTCATTTCAAAATATTCTTATTATTATAACAATAATAAAACAGAAAACAAGTGAATCATAATAAAAAGCATACATATCCCTTAAACAAAGGGCCATACTTTGGTATCACAAGGCAGCAATTTCTTCCATGGTGTCAGGTTCTCTGTGCAGACCATCTCCCCGGGCATCGCAGCGTACCTCAGATAAGTAGAGTTGGTGGCTATCCATTGGTCAGCGGCCCCAAGTGGCCGGAAGGACAACTTAGGACTGACTGTGGCTGTCTTGTCCATGAAGTTTAAAGAGGCACAAAACAGGCCAGAGAGAGCATTGACCAGATCTGACCATTTTTTGTCTATACTGAAATGAATAGATGAACAGAGAATGTCAATCATACAACACATATATATTGTGCACTCTGAGAGGGGAGGGTCTGAAAAAAACATAATTATACTGTAATTACTAGTACTACTATATAAACTGTATACTAGTGCACAAGTTGCTCAGAAACTAGCAAAGGATATGTTACAATACGACATCGATCTATATTTATAAAATTATGTATATTTACAAACAAAATAAATGTCTTTTAAACGTCTTTAAATAATATTTTAAAAAAGCAGATTCTGACAAAGGGATCAGCGTACATTATACTTCCAATAAATATGAAAGCAAGGTAATGGCACATAAAATCCATACACATAAAACAGAAATGTGAGAGCATAAATAGTTTAATGTGCTTCCAATTCTCTGACAATGAGGTCAATGCCCAGATAACACAACTAATACAATTCATTTAAGGGCAGCTATTACATCAATTAACTTTTGCTGAATAGCAGACCCTCAAAATAGTGTATGCAGAAAAGCAGACCCTTTACCCTTCAGAATACTCTACTCTTGTAACAGTGATTGATTTCTGATCAAGGCTCCTTTAGCCTTCCTAATTGTGGACCCTTGGAAAAGCAGACCCTTAGAGTATAGGGATGTCCCATATATTTAGAAATCCATATATCTATATGTAATTTAAGACAATGACTGAATGTTTACAGACAGGTGTCAAAACATAGTTGCTTTCATATTTATGCTGAAATAAGTGTTTCAATGCCCAATTACTAAGCAGCAGAAACCATTAAAGTGCGTCTCAGTGGGTTAGATTTATGTATAGGAGTAGGTTTCAAGTAAAACTATCATCAGATTTGTGTTTTAGGACATTGTTGATGATTATCTTCATCAGTTTGGGTCAAAAAAGTAAATGTAGAAATAAATTATAAAACAACCTGAATGAAAAGTTGAATATACACATCAGTACACCACTAGAATAAAAAATTAGGAAACTAAAACTATTCATCTTGATTTCGATGCACAGCCAGAAATTCTTCCAGTTCAAGGTCACAACCTGGATTTTCCAACGCTCACAACCAATCATGACAGAGTTTAGCCAGAACATAAGAGATGAGAGTGAGAATGGAAGGCAAGTTTGTCAGAGAAGAAAGTGTCCTTCATCCTTTCATCGTGTTTTTTTTTTTCTTTTTTTGGGGGGGTACATATTTAGCGTTAATGCATATTTTGGACCACAGTAACCTTTTGAAAATGCATATATCGCTTGTTTTGGTCGGGTCTTTCTTTGCAAAACAAGTTCGTGGAAAGGAACTCCATTGTATCAATTGATTCCTTGAAGATTCTTCACACTTGAAAATATATTCAGGCCTAAACTCCTTAATTATCTTCCTATTGATTATACGTGGAACATTCAACTGAACATTTAACCGAGAGGTGATGCATATTTTCAATTTTATTTTATAGACCGATAGTACAAAGACTGGAATAGTAATGGCAGGAGTACTAGTAGCAGCACTCAAGTGGGACCAAGCAGGTAAATTGAGGGTGAAGCATTCATAGGTCTAATAAATTTAAGTTTTTTTAATGGTTCATAACAGTGTTTGTTAGATTGTTTGTTAGATTGTTTCTTTTCTTCTCTTTTAAAAATAATTAAGGTCACTTCAAATTTATCATTATAAGTAAATAGGCTGTTGTGGCTTTGCTATTTCCAAACAGGAAATAAAAAAATATCAATGACATCTTAAGTAATAAAGAGGTTCAGCAAACAACGAATAACAAAGATGAGGTACAAAAACTAGGTTTGTGTGTCATAAGTCATAGCGGCCATTTCACAAATGCGGAACAACAAATACGAAAACAATAGAGCAGGGTGAAAAATGCTCAGTTTGTAACGTGTGAACACACTCAATTCGTATTTCCTTTTTTTGATGAGGAATTCATAAAATCTTCGTACAATGGAAGGACGAATTACGAAAAATGAGGTTATGATAAGCGTAAAGTGATGACATAGTGCACATGTTCGTCCTTCATCTTCGTTGTTTGTCATTTGCTAAACCTCTCTTATATCTGAAATGCAAAGGGGGGGTTGATCTACCTGACATTTATAAGAGGGTCCTGGCCGCTATACCACCTAGCGGTCAGTGAGTGTGAACAACTACTCACGTCAGTCTGATGAAGGCCTTCGACCAGGTTGGCCGTAAGCTAACGGTACGGAAAATTTTAGGCTTGTGTCTGAGAATTATCATGTTTATCCAACTACCAAGCTAATGAACATTTTTGCTAACTTTATTCTATGGTGAAGTTCTGTAGACCAAATGTTATTTTTGCCATTCATTACAGAACAAGTGTGGCAAAGTTGAAAAGGATGTCCTTATTTACATAAATGTCAAAGTGGACAACAGAAACCCATCTTTGGTAATGGTCAATGGAGAAAATTTTAAGAAAAAATATCCCTGGGCCTACTTCCTGTAACTATTTCCTGTCTCTCAAACAGCTGTTAGTTGCACCAGACTGGTGCATCATTGCAAACTGCAGGCCTGTGCCAACTGCAGAAAAAAGGTTGTGCCATCAAAGACCCCAAGATGATTGTCTTAGTCAGCTTTGTAGAGATCCAGTAAGTTTATTCCTGAAATATCACCGGGTCTAAGCCATAGTATTTTATTCATAGTAAACTGCGAGGCTCAGTAGCCGTATTGTGAGATGGATGATGAGAATTTATTTAAATAAATTATGGAACTTAAAAACAGTTGTTTTATGGAGCTTTATTTTCTCAACAGTTTTCTCAACATTCCCAGAGACTATCCTACTAACTTTGGATCAATCTATCTCCAAGGGGTTTCTCACTAAATTGTCATCAACTTAGACAGCTTCAGTGTCTGTCATGCCTAATAAGGATGGAATGGGGTAATTAACTTCCGGAGGTCGAGCGTACAAGAAAGTTAATTACCCCCTTGCTAATTCGGTAGGAGTAATAGTCATTTAAGCCACTTAAGTTGTTGGCAGTTTAGTGTGAATCCCCATGGAGTTAGACCATTTCTGTTGGATCAATCTAGGCATGGGAACCCAGTCCAAGATAGTTTCTCCATCCAAGTCCTCTTGGACCCCCCCCCCCCAAAAAAAAAAAAAA